GCCTGGTGTGGGTGAATTCAAATTTTATTTACATGTCTCGTCTTTCATTCATAATTATTACGTAACTCAATTCCTTTCAGATGTTACATCACTCTTGCTCAGGCATTAGGTATGAGTATGGGTGGAGCCCCAGCTGGACCTGCAGGTACTGGTAAAACAGAGACCACTAAAGACATGGGTAAAGCACTTGGCAAATATGTTGTTGTATTCAATTGTTCTGATCAGATGGATTTCCGTGGTCTAGGACGTATCTATAAGGGTAAGTATGAAAGTGAAATTGCTGGGTTTGTATTGATCTAGAAAGTCCTGGAAAATGAACAATTGGCATAAAAGCCATTACTATTGCAAGGTGGTCTATTTGAATTTCCATTAATGTGTAGAGTAATGGATACACTTCTGTCGTACAGTATGTTGAATTCTCAGGTCTTTCTTGAAACTTTATTCAAACTTAATTATGCATGTGCTTTTCATTGATTTGAACTCTTCTTTGCAGGCCTTGCACAGTCTGGAAGTTGGGGCTGTTTTGATGAATTTAACCGTATTGAACTGCCTGTATTATCTGTGGCTGCTCAACAGATTGCAATTGTCCTAACTGCTAGGAAGGAAAGAAAGTCAGAATTTATATTCACAGATGGTGATGTTGTTGATATTAATCCAGAATTTGGTCTTTTTATTACTATGGTTAGTCTTCATTGAGTGTTCAATTGTAATATGTCTATCAATTTCAAAGTCAAACTTAAAAGAAAATGCAGAAACTGATTCAGCAATGTGACTTCCATCATGCTCACATTTATTTTAAATGCTTGTAAAACTGTGATGATTTTTGTTGAATTTAATCAATTGAGTTATAACACTGAGAATAAATTATGTTATTAATATAGGTACTTTTGTAAATAAGAAGTAAAATTAAATTCAGTTTTAGAATATTTACCCAGATCAACCTTGTGTGAATGTGGAGTGCTTAAATGTCAAAAAAATGTTCTAAAACATAAGCCATAGAATTGTTGGGTTTAATAGTGATCATTTACTCAGCTATCATCAAAATAAGATAAGATAAGATAAGATAATTCTTTATTACATCATTATAGAATGAATTACATATATATTTTAGTTTATAAAATGTAATAAAGGTGTTTAAATAAACATATCGAGTTAGATATCTAAAATTTACTACAATAAAGTTACATGTAATAATGTAAAAATAAATATGTTAGTAAATATTTGTTGTTTGTATTCAATATATGAATGAATTTTTCTTTGTTTGTACAGTGTTGAAAATTGTTAATTTTCTTTGAAAAATGTGAATATAGCAACTATATATTGTGATATAACAAATTATATTACATTATTTGTTATCCTTAGAATCCTGGTTATGCTGGTCGTCAGGAACTTCCAGAAAACTTGAAGATTCAGTTCCGTAGTGTTTCTATGATGGTTCCTGATAGACAAATCATAATGCGAGTAAAACTAGCTAGTTGTGGTTTTCAAGAGAATGTCCTCTTAGCTCAGAAATTCTATACTCTATACAAACTGTGTGAAGAACAATTGACAAAACAGGTATGCATTTATGGGTTTAGAGCTAGTAGATCAGTGGTGTGTGTCAGTCACTATTCGCGGCAAGGGAGATATTTGATATGAACCTGTTTCATATTTCAATTCAATATGTGTTATGTATTTATGTTTATTATCTTTCGTTTCATGCTGCTGCAAATGGTCACCAAAGATTATTGAATCCGTAACATAGATTGCATGTGTTTTTTACAGGTTCATTATGATTTTGGTCTGAGAAACATCTTATCTGTGCTACGTACACTGGGAGCTAATAAACGTGCAAGGCCTGAAGATACTGAATCAACCATTGTGATGAGAGTCTTAAGAGATATGAATTTATCAAAGTTGGTAAATATTGCATGACAATGTTGAACACTACATTTCTTTCAATTTGCTACTTTATTTGAGTCATGTCACACATTTAATTTTAGTCATTGTCACTGCTAGGCTCCATATGAATTTCAAATTTTGATCCCAAATGACCTAAAAATGATGTGATTGCATTCACAACAGTTTACTGTAATTTTAAGTAATGCAAGACACAATATGAGCTCCGCACTGTAGCTTTAGAAACATGGTTCTTGGCCCTTTCACATGCTATATGTTTATTCTAGTGATTTGGTCAAAATGCAGGACTTTTGATACTGAGGTTATCATGGTGTGTTTCATGATAAGCTTACCTGTTGTTATTTCATCCTTTCTTTATTTTGGGTTTTAATGAATATAAAGAGTGACAGCAAAGTTTAAAAATAATTTATTATCTTTCCTGAAGTGCTATGATTGTGATTACCCCCTGTTAGACACGAATGTGCCAGAACGGGGGCATTTAACTTTGGTTTTGTGCACAGAGTTCTCGGCCATATCTCAGACATTCATGTGATATACATTTATATTTTGTTCATTTATTTCTTGTGGGCTTTATCGATATCATTGACTTGATGACTTGCTCTCTTGTATTTTAAGGTGGATGAAGATGAACCTCTATTCTTAAGTCTTATTAGTGATTTGTTCCCTGGAATTCAGCTTGATAGTGCTACTTATGAAGATTTGCAAACTGCTATAACACATCAAGTTGAGGAAGCTGGGCTGGTCAATCATCCTGCTTGGAATCTAAAACTTGTACAGGTGAATAAACCAGCTCAAATTGGAAAAAATATACAATATTGTGTCTATCACTTTATTAAACTTGTACAGGTGAATAAACCAGCTCAAATTGGAAAAAATATACAATATTGTGTATATCACTTTATTAAACTTGTTTGTAGAGCTGGTTGATACGAATAATTTGATGCTGGTATCATCAATGAAATGATTGTGAGTGAATAATACAGTCCATGATGGAAGGAGTATCAAGGATCTATGCTTACAAATCATATGTAAATAAGGCATGACATCTAACCTTTTCACCTCCAGTTTCCTCTGTTCCCAACAAACTCACAAAATAGTCCTGTTTATAGTCTGCACTTTCTTTCAAAAGAATTAGACAAAAATAACCAAAGAATAACAAGAATATTTTGATGTTTATTTTTTACCATATTATACACTAATGGTTGCAACTGTGAATGATATGCACAATAGTCAAATGATGCTAAGATAAAATAAGATAAACTCTAAAAATTTTACTTTGGCCTTAAAAATAAATAAATAAATAATATGTTTCTGGTCAGCGTGCATAGGGGACATAAAATGATTTCATGTAGCCAGCACATGTCTATCTACACCATTTCAATGTCAATTTTCTGTGTTATGCAAGACATTAAAATATAAAATTAGTTTATAATTACCAAATTTTTACAAAAAAATGCGATCCTATCAATAATTGGATGTTCGACTCATTAGGATAACATTATTATTATAAAACCAATGTTTAATAAAATTCAACCGCATTTGTTGTTTTATGTGAAATAATCTTCTGCACATGGACACCTCATTACACGAAGAACATTTTCCCCAGGGTATTTGATTGAAATCACTATCTAACTGAAGATGTTGCTGATTAGCTCCTGAAAGTGCAATGACTGTCCCTTGCTGATGTCATAATAAAGCTGAACAGAGGCAGTTTTGCTCAGCGAAAGAACTTTTGATCATGTAAATTCCAGCAAGCGGTTATAATATAGTTGTTCTTCAGTGTAACCATATTGAACCCTCCATCCTCTGTAAAATTGTTTATTTATATTCTACATACATAAAATCCTTGTACCTTGTGTCTGTAATATAGAATCGCCCAGAGTGTGACCGCAAATCGAAGCCAGTGACATTTGAAAAACTATCTGTTTAGTCAAAACACAAGCAGTTAGCCAATTTGCTAGCAAATTTGCAAATTGACTGCCTCATTACTTCTGAGACTTGTCGTAAACCATTCAAACAATTTCTTGCAAAAGCAACTTATTTGTAAATCAAGTGATTCAAAAACACAAAAAGTAAATAGTATAAAAAATAGTGCATTCACTTTTTATTAAACAAATGCAGTAGTAAAAAACTAATTTGTGCATTTCAGTTGTTTGAAACACAACGTGTACGCCATGGTATGATGACTTTAGGACCAAGTGGAGCTGGTAAATCCTGTTGTATACGGGTACTAATGAAATGTATGGGGGATTGTGGTGAGCCTCATAGAGAGATGAGAATGAACCCTAAAGCTATTACTGCACCACAGATGTTTGGTAGGTTAGATGTTGCTACCAATGATTGGACTGATGGAATCTTCTCAACTCTGTGGAGAAAGACTCTCAAGGCCAAAAAAGGTTTGATATATAAATGTTTTAACATATCTCATTTTCTAAACTGGAAATTTGGTTCATGCTACCAAACTTGCACTATTAGAAGTGCATCTGCAATAGATGTTTTATCAACTGATCCATTTAGAGTGTGGCATACCATTAAAAACTATGCAAAATATTTTTTTTTCTTTTAGCTTGTTTTGTGCTTTTTTTTTGAATAATGATTTGCTGTAATTTTTTTATTTCCTACTCTGTTTTTCTCTAAGAAATAGGTGTGCAGAATTTGTTTATGTTATTTTCTTCCTGTTCAATTTTTGTTTTCACTTCTGCAACCCTGAGTTTCTGATGGTCTACCCTATTTTAAGGTGAGGAAACATGATTGGGAAGATGTGATGCAGGATTTGTTTGCAGATCAGCTAGACCACCACATACAGATGTTATGCTCCAGTATTTTAACAGTATTAACATATGATATGAAGGGTGTAGTTTATCTAGTCAATCTTTTAATATATGTAAATAACTATCATGTATATTGTCTGTAGGAGAGCATATCTGGTTAGTACTTGATGGACCAGTAGATGCTATCTGGATTGAGAATCTGAACAGTGTACTTGATGATAACAAAACTCTGACATTGGCTAATGGAGATCGTATACCAATGGCACCAAACTGCAAGATTGTTTTTGAAGTACATAATATTGATAACGCCTCTCCAGCTACTGTATCACGTAATGGTATGGTTTTTATGAGCGCTTCTGTATTAGATTGGCGACCAATCTTGAAGGTAAGAATTATTATCATAATAAATATATATATTAATTATAAATATCCAGTTATAAGTTTTCTGTTAGTTATCATTTTGTTAAGAGAGGTGATCAAAATCAAACCAGCGGTTTCCAAGCTGCTATCCCTGAAGCTCCAAGGAGCTACTTTATCCTCCAGTGAGCTCTGAGGAACTTTGTGCTATATGCATATTTAGAAAAGTTCTGTACGGCACATCATTTTCCTTTGAAAAACCATTGTTTTACTCCAAAATAATGTAATTTGCGTTAAAATAGTACAACTTAATGTTTGTACAGTTTTAGGACATTGTAGTGTGGCCTATTTCTTGGTGTTGCATAAATAAAGTGTTAGTTTTTTCATCAAAACATTGATTTCAAAACATCATGGGTCATAATATTGCTATGTTAAGATTTTTTGTTGAAAAAAAAAAACATCTGTCCACTTTCGTTTTAATTATTTGCTATGATCTGAATAAAAACAAATATTCCCCAATAAAAATTTTAGCAAGTAGCCCGACAATAAAATAAAACAAAAAACAGCTAGTTGAAAGAGCGGAACCACACATTTCTGTAAAATGTAGGTCAGAAGTTCAAATACCTGTCAGCAGCGTTTTCTGAATCACGTAATAATAATACTGTCTCCATAAACGTCTTTGTTTAGATTTCAGGAATTCAGGGGCCGTAAGTATTTGCTTTCATGATGCCTTGGTAATGTAAAACATCGGAGGACTTGGGTTATAACTTCTTGCATTGATTTGAATAAAATAAATATTTCCCAATGAAAATGGTACATAGTAAATCGCACTAAATAAAAACTTGTACTTTGACGACAAAACAGAACTATGCATTCTGTTAAATCTAGGTCGAAAGTTCAACTGAGTATAATTATAGTTGTGTCTTGGATTGGTATTGGCACTGGCATTAAAACAAATGGGAAATCCCTGAAAAGTCTTGATTGTCTCCATGAATTTCTTTTCTTTTTGTTTTTAACCACACTTTCAATAAAATGAATAGTTTAACCTGTTTGTATTCTAACAGAACAAAGGATGTTTTCTGGGTGTCCTCATTAAAAGCTAATAAGTGAAATTGGCGAAGCTTCTCAGAGCTCTCTTGGGCTCTTTGCATACCTTGCCGGAAACCACTGTTTTGATTTTGTTCACCTCCCTAACTCAGATTCACGTTACATACTTCTGTGGTACTAAATTTGTCTTCAGGCCAGTGAAAACATGATTTCAATCGTGAATCAATGAAGGTGATTGTTTACTTGTCTCAGCTGTATGCTTCAAGATACATGGAGTCTGATATTTTTAGTATTTCTAGATATAGTATATTAAGATGTAGTTCACTTCTGTGTTAACCTCACTACGTTTCATATGCACAAGGGCTGGTTGAATAGTCGTCCACCTCAAGAAGCCGATGTTTTACAAACTCAATATAACAAGATATTTGATGATCTCTATACTTTTATGAGTATTAACCTACATGCTAAAATGGCTCTTCTAGAATGTAACTACATTAGACAGGTAAGTAGAATCTAAACCCAGTGTGTACTGTATGTTATATTTTTATGCCACTCCTGGTCATATGTGACCCATTGTCTGAATTGATTATTCCTTATTAGTAAGTCACAAAAATGAACAGCATGGGACCTACATGTGTAATGTCTCACAAACATACAGACACACAGACAGACCTCAGCACAACATTATAATACTCTATTCTGTGCTCTGTGCTAGCTAACAGAAATGACCAGCATGGGACCTACATGTATAACGTCACATCTGTATGTCATGCAAGTCTTGATAACAGCTGGACACCTCTGTTTATAATTCAATATGGAAAACAGAATGTTTGTCATAATTCCCGGCTTAAAATCACCAATTCATTCCAGAAACTAATATATCTACTTAAAAAATAGAGATGAGGAAATGATCAAAAGCATTGGAAATTTTGTAACTGCATAATTTTTTTTTAGCTCTGCTGTCGACTTTGTCGAGCGGAGCTTATCATATGAGTGATTGTCCGGCGTCGTCCGTGTCAATGTTTTACTTTTTCGACTTCTTCTTGAAAACTACAAGCCTGAATGCTTTGATACTTGTCATGTTGTTTTGTCATTTTTGGTAAAAAGTGATATTTTTTTCTTGTTAAAAACCACAATCATTTATGGTTAAAAATTATATTTTTGAATTCATGTTGAAAACAGCAAGTCCCATTGCATTGATACTATGCATATTGTTCATTTTCTAATGATATCTTCTGTTCTTTAATTGAAATGTGCATTGCTAACAGTGGAGCTATCTCAGCCGAAAGGCTGCTTGTTTGATGTTACTTGTACGTATGTATTATTTTTTAGTTTTTGTTACCCATATATTTATTGCTAACAACTGATAAAAATGTTCACCATCTTGCTCAATTCTGGACTTCATACACTTAACACCAGAAGGTAACTTACCTGAGTGAGTGAGTGAGTGAGTGAGTTATTCAAATGAGAAGTTTGTACAGTTTACATTTGCAATTACCACAGACCCGAGAGCAAAAAAATAGTTGCCTATCATAAAAATAATTGTAAAAAATGAAGGGATTGATGCTTTAATTATTTTTTCCCAATTTGTAACAAAAGTCTTTAGACTTGCTACAAGGACTGATTCCAAGCAAAGATGAAGCTGGAATACTATCTGCCAATCATTTGGAGAAACTGTTCATCTTTGCTTTGATGTGGAGTCTTGGTGCACTGTTAGAACTGGAAGACAGGGCTAAGATGGAAAATTTTATTGTAAATCATGAAAGTGTTCTAGATTTACCTAAAATTGATCCAGGCAGTGGGCACACTATATTTGAATTTGTTGTCAACAGCAAAGGTTAGTAGAAATACTATGAGGTCGATCATCACCTGATATCACTTGTTTCTTGAGCAGGTTGATATGAATATGAATGACACCATGGGCTATTATTATCCACTGAATGTGAGTGGACAGTACAGTCTATGACACCATGAGTATCAGTTAGCTCATGTTTATCATATGACTAACTCTAAGTGACGAAAAGCATAATTTAACTATGCTTACAAATAATATGCTAATTTATGCTAATCCAAAACATCATTTTGATCATGTTTTCAAGAAATTATATTAGGTAATGAATGACTACTTACCCAAACACAGTTGTTAATGTGAACAACATTGCATTGTTCTGCTGAAACAGAAGGACTCCTCCATAACTAGAGGGTTTGACTCACGGAATGCTGTATTTATCAACGCATATTGACTCATTTATTATGATTTACCCTACAATAGGTCAGTGGGAACATTGGACTGACAGAGTAGAAGAGTATATTTACCCATCTGATTCAGTTCCTGAATATTCCAGTATATTAGTTCCTAATGTAGACAATGTCAGAAGCAACTTTCTAATCGACACAATTTCAAAGCAAAAGAAGGTCAGTCAAGAGACTATAGCTAGTTGTGCTGCCTAATATTTAGCAGTATGAAATCATTGAAATCAAGCATTTCTAGTATTTGGAACTGGATCTCGGCTGTTTACAAATGGATTTTGTTCAAACTTTGTACACACATTGAACATTATGGGACCTTGATGCATGTCATTTTGTTTTTCGGATCGGTTTTGATTAATATTGTTCAAGAGCAATATCTCTCTCTAGCAAGTACTCAATTGACGATCAGATAAAAGATGACATATTCTATTACCGTACTTCCCTGATTGTACTCCTCTGAGTATAAGCCCTCTCCTCTATTTTTAGATTGGTATGGCAAAATTTGTATTAATTTCAGAGTGCATGGCGAACGTATGCAACATGGTTCGCATCTTTTCTATTCTGTAATTTACTCAGGATTAATGCTCCAGTCAATGTCAACCCCGACCCCTCCCACCTCGGGCGATACGGGACAAATGTGGGGCATTAACAGGGTTTACCGCCAAACTGTGCCCGTGGAGGTGGGGTAATAGCAGTGTTTCGTGTCCCGTCATCGCTAGCATCTCCAGTACTCTGCTGATAGCAAGCATGGCGGACAGTGGTGATCGGTGGGAGAAATGTGGGGGGTTTGTTTTGGGTGGGGATTTGCCTATCCATCTTGCCCCAGGAGGTGGGGCATTTCGCAAATTTTACAACAATAATTTCCAAATCCCCCACTAAACCCCAAGGTGGGAAAGGTGGGTGTTGACAATGACTGGAGCATAACCCCGATGTTACAATATTGACAGAAACAGAAGTAATTTGTTTCTCTTTGAGTGGTATCTTTTGAAATGCCAAAAATGTGGCCGTCAAATCGTGAAACCTGGTCATTGGACATTGTTTTACTTTTCCAAATAATCGGTAATTGATTTCATCAATTTTACAGGCCGTCTTATTAATTGGTGAACAAGGTACCGCTAAGACTGTTATGATAAAAGGCTTTATGGCTAAGTATGATCCTGATTCACATATCAGCAAGAGTCTAAATTTCTCATCAGCTACTGTGCCAATGATGTTTCAGGTATATCTGACATTGTAAGATTCTGTGAATGTCAGGAATATATTGCATATTAGTATAATTTATATGTTCTGACTATGTCGCACACATCAGTTACAAAAAAGTTTTTTACTACATTGTACATAATTAAATATGATCATTTAATAATTATCTGTGCCCACATGTAAACAGTTGTGATCAAAGCAAATATAATTATTTAATTTTTTTTTCCTTGAAAATAATTGAAGCTGTATGTTGTTTTTTGCTCACTGGAGCCAGATGTAAAATCTTATTTTGATTTCCCATGGTTTGATGTAAACATGATGTACTGCCTGTAGACAATGTATAGTTAAATCTATAACTGTATAATAATAATGATTGTCACTGCATGCCCTTCTTTATTTAATGAACCAAACACTGCTTTATGTATGTGTCATTACAAGTATAAATTGTGTGGTAGCCCGGAAAGTAGATTTAATATTTTATACCATCATCTGTTTCTAATAGCGCACCATAGAAAGTTATGTAGATAAACGTATGGGAAGTACATATGGTCCACCAGCTGGAAGAAAGATGACAGTATTCATTGATGATGTTAATATGCCAATTGTTAATGAATGGGGTGACCAGGTAAACAAGTTGTAAATCATAAGAGTAATGCAAAAAATCAACATCTTGTTTACTATGTTTCTTGTTACACAAAAAGGAAAAGTGTATTATATGTCAATAATATCTTTCATTGAGATTACATAAAGATCATCGATATTGGCAAACCTTACTGTCAGTAAGACATGCATAGGAATACATGATCTGTGCATGCCATGACTTATATGATTATCGTTTAAGTGGTTTATCTGAAGTATCTTACCATTCATCAACAATTCTACTCTTAATGTTATCTGCATTATGTTTTACTGTTATTTTCACTAGGTAACTAATGAGATTGTGCGTCAAATGATGGAAATGGCTGGTATGTATAGTCTTGATAAACCTGGTGATTTTACCAATATAGTAGATATACAGTTCTTGGCTGCTATGATACATCCTGGTGGAGGTAGAAATGATATTCCTGAGCGACTCAAAAGACAATTCTGTGTTTTCAACTGCACCCTACCATCCAACGCTTCTATTGACAAAATATTTGGTAAGTATGTATGTAATTTTCAACTGTACCTTACCATCCTGAATTTTATTTTTCAAGACATTTCACTGTGAAAATTGGTTGCTTTCAGAACATCAGTGTTCAAACTGTGGTGCTGTTTCAAAACTTATAGATGGTCTTGCACTGCCCAAGCAGTTCAGAAATAATTTATAGCCTGATTTGACACACTTGGGGGGCTTATAGATTGGGTTCTGTTCGTCTGTCTGTTACATTATCTCAGAAGTTCATGGACAGGTTTTCCCCCAAATTTGGTACATGGTTGATTCATGATGGTGTACATACACCCCTGATTTTTTTTTTTTCTGTTCAGATACAAAATGACCGACCAACAAAATAGCTGACAGTTGACATTGTTCTAAGTTTGATCCGAATCGGCCAGTCCAACTTGGAGATAATGTTAGAGCATATAAAATGTAGGTTTCTAGGCTATTTTCAGGTAAAATATGGCCATATTAGAACAATGTAACTGTCAGCTATTTTGTTTCACAAAAATTTACAATTTTTGTTCCTTTTTGCACATTTTGGCTTATAAAGATCTAAAAGTCCAATTATGTCCAAACTTTGTGACAGATAGTGTGTGCTAGCACATCAACAAAGTTGATTTGTGTTACAATTCAATCCAAGATGGTCGGCTGTCAACCAATCTGACAATGCTCAATAATTTTGGATTGTCATACATTATTCTCATTTTGCCAAATAGACACACATGTTAAATTGACTGGTAGTCCAAAGCATTAATTCAGTGTGATTTGTGACAATCTGAATGGCTTGTTTCATTCAATTCTGGCCCCTCTCCAAAACAAAATTTTAAAAGTGTGAAATAATTATGAAATAATTATGAAATAATTTTGAAGTTGTGTGCCTGATCCACTATCAGTCATGTCACTTATTTTACCGATACACATACTCTTTAAACACGGTAACTTTTAAAATTGATTTTTCCCAGGTTATCCAAAAATATAACTATTTCCAAGTTTTGCTGACAATAACGATACAACTTTAATAATACATTATTTGATAGGTATTATTGGATGTGGTTACTTCTGCTCATCTCGCTTTTCTGATGAAGTTGTCAAACTGACAGATAAATTGGTTGGTGCAACAAGATGTTTATGGCAAGCAACCAAGGTAATGTAACATTGACTGTACTTAGAGATTATACGGTAGTTACATTTTGAATAATATTATTTCAACATTATCATGGACAATGTAACAACCAAGTATCCACTACAAAGCTGTTTTTGACTCCCATGTGCGAAGCACAAAATGGGAGTCTTTGCAGTTAGTGTGTCTGTATGTATGTGTGTGTGTGTGTGTATGTGTGTATGTGTGTCCGACTGTTCCACTGCTATCTCAAGAACCATACATCGTTTTTTGATGAAACTTGGTGCATAGATGCTCTGGGCCAATGCGCAGATTTGATTAGGTTTTGGTAAAAATCCATGCTCGTTAATAACCTAATTTGCATGATAATTAGCTAATTTTTAGCTGTTCTATGACTGTTCCACTGATATCTAAAGAACCACTCATTGGATTTTGATGAAACTTGGTACATAGATGCTCTGAACATATGCGCAGATTTGATTAGTTTTTGGTAAAAATCTGTGCATATTAATTACCTAATTTGCATGATAATTAGCTATTTTTTAGTGGTTCCATGACTGTTCCACTGATATCTAAACAACCACTCATTGGATTTTGATGAAACTTGGTACATAGATGCTCTGAACTAATCCTAGGTTTTGATTAGTTTTTGGTAATAATCCGTGGATACTAATTACCTAATTTGCATAATGATTTGTCAATTTTCGGTTTTTCCACTGATATCTCAAGTACTAATCATCACATTCAATGAAACTTGGTACATAGATGTCATATGACACTGCACAGACCTGATAGTTTTTATGGTAATATCAGTACATATAATTACCTAATTTGCATAATTAACCAATTTCCAACTTTCACACTGATATCTCAGGTACTAATCATCACATATCAATGAATGTATATACATGGATGCTGTAGGATAATAGACAGACCTGGATAATTGTGGGTTAAAATCTGTACATATTAATTACCCAATTTGCATAATTAACCAATTTTAAGCTTTCACACTGATATCTAAAGTACTAATTTCCATTTTAATGAAACTTAGTACAAAGATGCTCTAGGACAATGTACAAACCTAACTAGTTTGGGGTAAAACTCTGTTCATATTGTTTCCCTAATTAGCATAATAATTCATAATTTTTTGGTTCTAATCACATTTCAATTAAATTTGGTACATAGAGTTTTTGTTACATTGCGCAGACCTCATTAGTTTTACAATCAAATCTGTTCATGTTCATTTTCTGATTTGCATAATTAGTTTTCAGCTAAGTAATTTCAAATTATATTTAATGTGTCTCCAATACTCTCAGCACATGGGAGTTCTTTCTAAGCTTTCTTTGATTTTTATGGCCAGCTGATTCATTTTGATTTCAATAGTGACAGCATCTGTTGGGTGTCATCACACGGAAGGTTGCTCCTCCTTTTAATATAAAACTACCCTTTTCCTACAAGGTTTTATGTGGTCAAAATACAGCTGGTTCATATGATGGATCTCATATTTATTACGAAACAAAACATTCTTCTATTATTTTAATAGATTAAAATGTTACCAACTCCTGCTAAATTCCATTACATCTTCAACTTGCGAGATTTATCACGTATTTGGCAAGGTATGCTTGTAGTAAAAGGAGAAGAGTGTGATACTTCTAGTCTTCAACTCCAACTATGGAAGAATGAATGTACCAGGGTTATTGCAGACAGGTAATAAGTGTATTTACATGTATTACGTTGGACTGATTCTAATGAATGTGGCGAAGGTAGTCCTGTTCTTTTTAGGAAATATTAACCTATATCTGTTCAAGTAAATGTAAAAGTACATGGGGCTAGCAAAAACAACCAAGCCTCCTTGGATTCAGTGGTTACTGCATTCACTTCACATCAAGTAGGTCTTGGGTTTGTGCCGATTGTTTCTGTTTTATACATAAATCATTCAAAAAGCCTGGCACAAAAATCCTCTTTTTTGCGCAGTAGAACTTTAACATGCACTTGTAAAAAAAAGCATATAAATGCTGATCATATAAGTACTAAAAGAGAGGTGACTAGCAGCTATGACATTCTGGCTTCTTAATTTAATTTCCTGATTAGGTTTACCAATGCTGAAGATAGGGACTGGTTTGAGAATGCTATAACAAAGACAGTCAGAGATCAGCTTGGTGAAGACTATGTTAAATATGTGAAAGACGTGGAACCATACTTTGTAGATTTCTTACGAGATCCACCTGAACCAACTGGTGATGAACCAGACGATGCTGATCTGGAAGCACCTAAGATTTATGAAGTGGTTAGTTTGTACCATTGTATCATTTTAGATGACGGTCAAGATATATGAGGGGAAAATGTCTATCATCCTGGTTGTTGTTGTCATCATTGTTGTTGTCTTTTTCATGCAACATTTGAGATATAATATTGCATAGTTTTAGAACTTTTATACTCATTTTTGCCATGTAAAAAAAAGTTTGTGCATCATTAGTTTGTATCCATCAAATCATGTATTTGTTATTTATTCTTGATTCTCATTGGGCAAGGTTGTAATAGTTATGCTATTGATTTCATGAGATATATTATATAAACACAAGAAACAAATAAAAAGGTCAAGTTGTCATACAGCTTATTTTGTGGCTGTTTTGAATAAGAAAAGGGCAAAAAATATATGTATTATTACATTATTTTGTTATTTACTCAGGATGAATCCCAATGTTGCAATATCAAAGTAATCAATATCTCTTTGAGTGGTAGCTTTTGAAATACCAAAAATGTGACTGTCAAGTCGTGACTGGGGTGTGAGGTGGTCCTGGTATAAGCCCACCCCTTACTTACCTTGATTTTACATGTTGAGGACCCTGGTCTTATGATCGGGAAGTACTGTATAACACTAATAACACTTTACTTCACTTTGTATAGATACCATCTTATGATCAGGAAGTACTGTATAACACTAATAACACTTTACTTCACTTTGTATAGATACCATCTTATGATCAGGAAGTACTGTATATTAAACACTAATAACACTTTACTTCACTTTGTATAGATACCATCTTATGATCAGGAAGTACTGTATAACACTAATAACACTTTACTTCACTTTGTATAGATACCATCTTATGATCAGGAAGTACTGTA